AAAAATACCCGAATTTTTAAATATTCATATTTGATCCGGAATAAAACTGGGAACTTTATTTTATGAAGAACGTTATATATATTTTCAACCAAAAATTTATCAAGTATATTGTACCAAAAATTTTGACTCTCTCCATTTAAAATATGTTTAATATTATAAATATTCGCCCCAAACATTATTTAGACATTATCCTTCAATGTTTTATCTCAATTTACTTTCGTATTCCGATGTAATGGAGTTTAGATACGCACCATTTACGTGTAATACGATGCTTTCAAACTCGTTACTAAGTTCTGGGAGACTTCACTTCATGATCTGTTAACATTTATATACATTTATTTATATGACATCTTAAGTCTCCATCTTGATAAGTTACCTTGTGATCTTACTATAAATAAGTTGATACTTTAAAATGTTTCTACTTTATGTGTGTATGTGCGAATTACATATATAGCTTTAATACATCAAAATATAATAATAATTAGAATTTTGGTACATTTAGTAAAATATAATTTTATATGTTATAGGTTCATTGACCTCGTAATGGATTTTGAAATTATCATCTCATTTGAATCACATCTACGATATTACAATAAAGATTCATATCATACACAGAACATATTATTCCAACAGTCCATTGTTGTTGAAAGTTCAATAAATCAATTGTGTAGAAGATCTTTTGTGAAGATACGAAGAGAGTGGAGTGAAAATATTTTGCTGTAACATACTATATTATTTTTCAGCACTAAGCACTTGTAATAAATGAACTTAGGAAGAGTAACAGAGTGTGATTAATGAGAAATAATATTGTGGCAGGAGCTTAGCTACATAATATTTTTGTATCTTCGTGTTATATACAATTAAGGCATAGAAAAAAAAGCAGTATGAACTGTTTTTATACAGTAAATACTCGTATGCATAAAGCTGGCGGACTTTAGATTTTTACCAATCTGAGAAACACTACCAATTAATGAATGAACTATTTAATCTTCAACCTTTTCTTTATTATGTCTCAATCCTATTCTACTTTCGTACATCAATGATCATAACCAAAATTAAAACAAATAGATGTCCTAACAATGACACCATCATACCGTCTATTAAAAAAAGCAAAATTATAAACGCTAGCTTAAATATTAAGACGAACAAATCATTACGTAGCTTAGATAAAAAGAGCATTGTTTTTAAAACACAAAAACTGAGCTTTAATCCTTATACGTTTCTGCACTCCTGGTCCTTTATTACAAATACCCAGCAATGGTACATGTTTTAATTATCCCCGAGGGATCCATTCACTGAGTAGATCAGGATAAAATATTCAAATACACGTATTTATCTAGACGAAAACCAAGAATATTAATATTATTGGATATAATTTATATATTGAGGGTATTGAAAATGAAACTAATATATTATTTATTAAAATCGTGGGCCGGCTGCGTGACGCTGAAGTCATTAAATAACCCACGACAGACATGATCAAATAAGATTATTCCTTTTTTAATATGCTTAGTAAAGACATTAATGACAAAATCCTAATGAATAAAAAACTAACATGCATTTTGGTTAGACAGGCTATGGCTCAGCGTAGACTGGTTTTCGGTGGCGCAAAATCAATAATAGATACCACTACGTCCCCATAACTTCACCAAGATATTAAAAAACAACAAACGAGAAGATTGTTCACCTGACAGTATGTGTCAACAACATTTCTTATAAATATCTGATACATAGTGGGAATTACATTGTCAGTTCTCATAACAGTTTTGTGTATAACAAAATTAATCTTGATCCGAAAAATATTAATATCTAATCATTTTACGGAGAAGAAAATTAAAATCACAATAACATAAGTGATGTAGAAGCATAGATTGTTTTTATAAAAAATATAATAATTTAATTCCTCCGGCAGTATTCCAGTCAATCTAAAAATAAAAAACATCTTTTTCTTTATCTCTTTATATAATATTTTTCATAAAACTCATGAAAACTTTCACCTTGAAACGTGAACATAAAATATGTTTTTAGAAAGCACACATGTTTTTAATTTTTATGTATGTCATGTTTTTATGTTCAAATATAAAAGCTGGGTTTGTGTTGTTGTGACCTTAAATAAAGTACCAATGACCTTGTAATTAATATTCTTGTTATTAGTAGCTTCTTGCATACTATAGTAGCACATTTTACTGTAGTTTTTCTGTAGTTTTTTTCGTAATTAAGCTATAATTTCCTTAAACGTAGTAAGGATTGATTAATATTGTAAAATATTTGATGAATCTATGTGTACGCTGATCATTGTCACTCTTATACATCACTATAAAGTAGTTCGATTTGAACACAAATCCAAATGTTTTAATAATGAGCCACGAGCGATAACATCAACGCCACGATATATCAGTAGATCTTTTGTTATATTAAAATGATACAGTGATATTTTTTATAAAACCAATCAAATTTCATTGTTATAATGTTTTTTATTATAAAAATATACGAATAAATAACTATCAATCATCGAAATGAAATCAATAGCAAAAAACATATATATCAAAATTTACTAGGAATTCCATATAAAAAAATATTTAGATACAGTTTTCAATATAAACGTTTATCTGTACCCACAAATTTATCAAAATATCGTCATATTTATAGTTGTAAGAGGAAAATGTGATATGAAATATATGAATATTGTTCAAAGCGAATGTAAAACGGCAATATGAATTTACGTTTAAGAGTATGGTGATGTCGGTAATAGGGTTTTGGCAATCAGCATTTGAAATTGCTTTACACAGTCTGTACCTCATCAGTTGACATGTTTCATAGGGAATAACTAATCAGCCTGGCCTTCGTTAATGAATAATGGTCGCGATATTACTCAATCGGATATTAAACAGACATTATGAACATCAAACACAGATGATTGAGAATTAATTATTTAACCAAACTTAATATTAACGCTACTTTAATATTAAAATCATTGATAAATTCAATTTAATTATAATTTATTGTTATTGTCTTTATTTACTTGGCGTGTATATAAAAAAAACATTAGCATTTATGTAAGGAGTCTTTAAAGTTTTATTTATAGTACGAGACTAAGGGCGGTTTCAGACTAGCGTTTTATACGCGCGTATGAGCTGGTTTTTGGAAGCGCATGTAAGCGCGTATAGGCGCGCCTTTTGGCACACGCTCAACTCGTACGAGCGTTGACGCGCTTCTAAGCTCGTTTAGAATCACTTCGCAGTTCTGGGTAAAGTGTATTAAAGTAACCGGTTATCAGTCTTGATGCAACTATTGGTGACACCCAGCACTTTTTCCGTCGTCTCAGTCGACGGCGAATAAGTAACGCAAAAAGTAATGTTTCTTTGTCAGAATCCATGTTGATACTGACACGATACCACCGGTTCGAGCGAACACGCCGAAATATGCGCGTTTACGCGCGTCCGGTTTTTTGAAGCGCGTAATGTAGCGCGCGTGTAAGCGCGTATACTGAAACGACCGTATACGCGCTGAAAAAAACGCTAGTCTGAAATCGCCCTAACGACATTACACATTTTTTTTGTATTTAAACAAAGAATTTAAGTAAATAAGGTGAATTGTTTATTAATATGAGAACAACATAACTGACTTTATGTATATCACGCATATTATGGTTAAATCTCTTCCTAATTATTAAATCATAAGCCATAAACAAAATAAGTATAAATAAGGCATTTAGTGAAAAAATTACAAAAATAGGACGACGAAAAAGAAAATCACACAAAATAAAGATATATTAGTAACAGTCTTAAGCTATGCCAAACAATTAAATTTATTACAATTCAAGTGTTAAAGCTTATATAAAACCAACAAGTAAAATATATATTAAAAATAAAATACGATATTCCTCTAACAGCCACTACAATATGCCCATACTCCAATGGTTATTAATAGCTTTGGACAGACCTGATCGCACTCAAAGGGTTTTGTCACGTCACGCCCTATCCTCATTTATGGCCCTTTATCCTGGCCATTTCGTAATCCTTAAGGATCCCCTAATCTTCGAGTTATAAATTCAAAGATAGCTTAATTTTAGATCTTTGGGAAGGTCGTAAATCGTGAGATACTCAAAATACTATCTTTGATACACTTTGTGATATATATACATATTATGATCCCGATAAGTAATATTGTCTAAAGATATTTTGATACTCTAATATTAGTACTTTTTTATTTTAGTTACAGATGCATATATATATATATATATATATAGTTTCATACGATTTCTGAAACGTAATCATATCGTTTATAATTTACCCATACCCATTTTATAACAATCCGTTTACAGGCCAGCAGAGTCTTAGATAATACCGAAAGGGAAAAAGTTGAGTCAAGAACACAGCCAAAGTTTATATAATGCCAAAACTTTGAGGAAGTGGCGAGGTCAAGAAAGTTTGCAGGATTAGTCTATTATGCTCGGATTGACGCGTTCAAACGTTCTGCCAATATATGTTACGAAACTAAGGTTTCTCTGATACGTTCAATAGTCGAGACTGCCAGAAACGAAATAACCTACAATTAAAATATAAATATAGGTATGTACACCGCAACACGAAGATATTTATTATATGAATGTAATAGAAAAAATAGCAGTAAGAAAATCTTAGTTCAGTAATATCATTTCAACAAGAATCTTCTCTAAAATATAAAACTCTAACCTATGACATTCAAAATCTATTAGATCTTTGATCTAAATTAATTTATTCTCGCATAAACTCTTGAGATAATGAAGAAACGTAAAGTTACCTTTACATAAATTATTTCTCTAACGGGATTTTATTATTCACTATGCATTTATGGATGCGATTAACGAAATGAATATTTTGAATAAATTATTATTTTCAATTGTTTTCTTTATGAAGGATGATATTAAAATAATAATTGCCAACCTATATTGGTTAAGCTTAAAAATGATTAGGAATTGATGAAGACCTATTTATGTAACTAGGAACTAGAGTACTTACCATCATAATCAAAGCCCCTGACCAGTTCCTCAGCCTCGAAGACCGAATGAGTGAATGTAATGTTGATATCACTATTCCGTTCACTCAGAGTCACAATGTCTTCACTGTCACTCGGGATTCGGGCGAAGGCACAAGCATCGCCAACTATTCTTTCACTTACACTCGCTTCACTAACCGTTGTGGCCGCGACCTCGTCGTTCGTCGTCACTTCATCGTATATAGTATCGTCGATTGGTATTTTTATATTAGTTTCTAATTTATCACCAACCCTTTCTATATTTTCATTGATTATGTTAATAGGCGGTCCAGGCGACCTGCCAGGTGCAGGGTCCCCGCTTGGTAGGTTAAGAGTGGAACTATAAGGCAGCGAGGCAAGTATGAGAACTCTTACTATAATATTCGTAGGACATCTGTTCATCTTGAATTTGGTCGGACTCTTGAAGCGCTCTGTGGTTTCTTGGCATTGCTGTTTCAGCATCACTCTAGTTACAGTCATCTTATTTACTAATCCAATCGATACCTTGATACTGCTCCATAACTTTGCACTGAAAAGAAAATTAATAATTATAACATCAATATTAGAAATAATTCTAAATTTCAATTAGTTTTGTAGTAATGAACATCTTTTATATAATCTCAATATTCAGAAGAACATAAACGAGATATTTTGTGGGCCCACTTTTGTGGAACCTAATTAAAGGTTACGTGCAACCGCGAAGTGCTCAAAAAAATTAATTTGCATAATATTTGCACTGTAAGAGGAAATATGAATTTAATTTTCGCCGAGCAAAAAGGCTGTCGGTTTAAACAGAACACGCTTTATTTTGTAGCTGGTTGGTTTAAAAAAATTCTAGAAAAACGAATGAAAAGTGTTAATTCAAGTTATAAATTAGCATCTGTAATTTTAACCAGATATTCAATGCTGAAAAAGTGCTTAATTGGTTGAAACATATGACGAATCTTCACTTACTTCATTTTCTATGTAATAACATACAAATTTTCATTATATTCACCAACTCTAAAAAGACATCACTCGCCTAAATGAGATCGTCTTAGGTGTTAATTTTTAAATATTCTTTATTAAATTAAAATTACTTCAAATTGAAAGTCGAAAGGCAAAATTAGGTTATCAATTATTCATTCAGACCCACTTTAATCTCGCTTCTGGCAATAACATCGATCACTTTGTTTTCGCAAACATGTTTTCCAAGAGGGCAAAAAATATTTTCATTTAATGCCAATGGTTTTCTGCCATCCTTTTGAGAACCAAAATAAAGAAAACAAAAGAAAACTGGGAATTAATGATTTATCATAATCAAATAAATTATATTCAAACTTTTATTGCACATACGTATATGTATATTTGATTATAAGCTAGTAAAGACAAGACAATATAAGCATTGTAATAGTCATTGTATTAATTATAAAACGACAAGATGAAAGTTTCTTGCTATTGAAATGTATTTTTCTCGTTGAAATGTTTAAACCTTTTATATTTAATTCCCCTATTTTAAATATGATTTCTCCAATAAACAATAAATATCTCCAAAAAACAATCTTAATCTCCAAAAAACAATAAATATAAATAGATGATTGATCATCTATTAACAAGATTTTTTTATTTCTTTATAACTTTAATCCACTTCGCTGTATAACTTCGTTACCTAATCGAATTTAATGCAATATGGGTCAACGATGAACCTCATCGTTTCCAATACAAATTTCTATCTAGACCTTTGCATTCCTTTAAGCAAGGGAAGAAGCCTTCAAACCCATGTAAATTTCTCACATCAAATGTAAGCTATAAGAGACCACATAATCGTCACACCTGTTCCCAAGTCGTTAGTAAGCGCTCAACGTATCCCCAAACTTTAGTGGTCATTTATTTTCGACAGTTCACACAAATCCATAATGTAACGACTTTATAATAATATTGTGGGTGAATAACACTTTCATCTATAATCAGTAAAAGTTTTTGCTCTGATTGTTACTTAATGATAGGCAAATAGATACAGTCTGAATTTAATCATTATTAATATTTTAGTTGTATAAAATAAATTCTGTCTAATTATAGTAGTCATAGATTTTGGGTTAATTGAGTCACATATTTGGTTTCGTAAGAGGAAACGATGAAAAGTTAACGCTATTTGTAATAAATAGAAAACACACTCTCACGTATGTAAATATTATAGACATTTTTGAAACTAAATAGTTGACAGAATTAAAAAAATAACTGGCTTGAATATAACTTGATATGTTTAAAATAAGAGCGGATTAGATACAGAGAATGTAGAGTTATGTTTTTTATCCATCTGTTTGAAAATTATTCGCCCTTAATATACGTTTTCGCCAAAATTTGTAGATTTGATTAGCTTAATTAGCTAAATGAAACCCACTTGACCTCATCTACATTACAACGCTATCTGTATCTTGTGGCTATTTCGTAGTTAAAACGTTTAATTTGTTTATTTTTTATTCCTACAACAGTAAATATATTTCATTCCAAAACTTTACAATTCCAAAAGTTAAAAAGAAAAATATTTTTCATAAACATTAATACAACGTGACATTCATGGCTTTCGTAAACACAAAGCCTTTTCTTTTTCATTTTCTTCAGTTGTTATTTCTAAAGTACGATTATTGTGTAACAGTTTCATGTTCTAAGAACCAAACTGGGCAATCTTTAAAATGTCTGGTTACTGTTCACAATAAAATAATGATAGTATCATAGGCATTTATCGAAAAATGACAACATTTTTTATTCATATACATGACGTCATTGCACCAATTACTGATTTTTTAACAAGCTCAACTTAATATGAACTAAATTTTAGATACCCTATATCTGTAATTTTAATAGTTGAAAAAGGCGTTAAAAGCAAAAGGCAAATATAAAGGGTATTCGATAAAATGATAAAGTGTCGTAATGTTTGTGGAATGGGTCGATCTCTTCAAGGTTGGGCCGAAGCGAAGTAAAGTGACCTTCCGTCACACCAAATACGAAGCATGTCTTCGTAAAAAAATACTTACTAATAAGTAACAGTACAATGTGGCATTCGAATTGACAAACCATTCTAACATTCAACAAGCTATAAAATAAAAACTAAAAAATAAATATTTAGTATATATTAGTAACTGTAAAGTGTATATTAAAATGAAAAATTTTGTTCACTATCGGAAAAACATAGTTTCATTAAAAAAATTTCATCTAAATCATTTAAATCTGTTTAGTTTTAAGATATAATTCGTGGTTTAACAATCAGAATGTTGTCGTTCTAGTAATACACAACTATGTAACGACTTCCATTTTACTAATGGCACTACTCTATTGTCTCGTGGTTGTTATAATGTACATGTATATTTGGTATTCAAACAAAGTACTACTTTCTCTGTTGTACCTCGACCGCTCAATGAGACCATGTTGATTTGATAATCATTTTTATGATTTCACTTAGAGTGACAATTAATTTTCAATAATGTAAGTTTTAAAAAAACATTCAAAATTGATAAGTGGAACAATTATTGGCCTCAATTATAAGTACAAGCCTACCTATTTAACACTTGGGAAATAAAATGGAATAAATTAGTTACTTCTTATACGATTATAACGAATCTACGATAACAACGAGAAAAGGATACATTTTTATGATTAAAAACAAAAGATACTTTTGTATCATTTGTTACATTATAGATGTAATTGAGATGAATAATATTTTATTTTCAATATTCTATAGAAGGATTCGTTAAAACAAGTTATTTCGCTGCATTTTTTTCCATTCTTAGCTTTACAATAATTATAATAGGAATCTACTCAGAAAAGTTCTGTACCTGGTGAAAGGCTGTTTTCATTTAGGAGAATTACAATACTATACATAGAATTCTTTGATCTCATATCAAAATTAATTAAATGGAAAATTATTTTATTTTGGATCCATATTTTAGGTAAACTTATTTTACTTTTAATATTAATATACCTGTAATTAAAAAGTATTCAAGCAATTTACTTTTTAAAATGCTGTAAGTAGTTTCAATATCCAATACTTTCATCATATTTTTTAAATCTTTATATTTAAAAAATATGATGAAAGTATTTTTATTTTTATATAGCTTGAAAAACTTATAAATATAATATGACAATTTACCGATTACATTTATTAACACAAATTTGTTTTTCCGCAGATTTATTCGTCGTCAAACATCTCATGTGCGTCAGGTCACTAACGTGTAAGTCGTGCCTTCAACATCTCTCCGCTCATAACATTACGAGGTGACAACAATTAGCAGGAGAACTCCAATGAAATATACATACTACAATAGTATCACTGAACATTTTACTTGAAGTATTTAAGTTTGAAAGCGTCTTAATTTATCATATTCAGGAATCAATAAACGAATTTACTATCAAAAAAATTAGGACGAGGTGTTTGGAAATATATTGCTTGTTTAAAAAATTGAATAAATATTCTCAATATTCGTTTGTAAAATAAAAATCTGTTAGTGTGTACGACGCTCTGATTTAACATATTTTGATTGATATAGTTATGAAGACTTTAAATATATTTCGCAATAATTTATTGGGAGATGATTATATACTGTGATATTTTAAAAAAATTATAGGAAATGTATTTATAAATCTTAAAAAAATATAAACAAAGTTAGGTATAACAACTTTTAAAACAACCACGCAGCGGTCCTTTCATAGACAGACGATAACATAATGTACATGCGTTCATGTCAATTTCAAGTAATTTCTGTTCACGACAGTCTGTCTAGACACTTAATTCCTCTTATGTAAATAGTGAATATATGTATTGAGTTGTGCTGGCCTAGCGTTTAGCGCACCTTAGATAGGGCCCCCTTACACCTGTGCTTGGGTCGCAAGTCCCAGGCACTGTTGAAATTCCTCTCCCTACAACGATGGGCCCGGCACTCTCACGGTGAATTCATGGAATACTATATTATCAATGTGTCATCAGATCAGATATATTCAAACGTGAATGAAATTACTTTCAAAGAGAATTTCATTAGTCTAAAGAACAATAAATATAATCAAGAATTTCACAAATAAATATGCTACTCGTATTTTAACACATCATCGACGTTTACAGCCTCGGATGTTGTCTTCTAGTTTAAAACTATCTTAAAAACATTAAGTTTGAAAGTTATTTGTGTTTAATATGCCAAGCGTCGATTCTGGATACCACGTCTCTATTACGATTTTTAAAAAAAATATTTATTTGCAAAGAAAATCGTGGTGGCCAAGGGAAAAAAAGGGGTTAAAGGGCGACCTCTTTTGCATGAGGGCTCGGGTTCGAAACCTGGCCCATACCAATTTGATTCTTCCGAGTCATATGTACTTTCTAAGCTTATTTAGACACCACTGATAGATGGCAAAGGAAAACATCGTGGGAAACCTGGACATATAATTTCAAATTATAAGTTTGAAATCGCCAATCCACCTTGATCAAGCGTGGTGATTAATGATTTAACTATCTC